AGAGGGAGGACGCAATCTGAAGTCCTTATATACTACAGAGAAGTGTCCATGACTAATCGAAGAGTGGTTAGTCACATGTACCATAGTGCGATGAATAATACGATGGTGAAAGAATTGCGACATATCGCACCATAGGATGAGTAAGAGATGAGTAAGGCATAGACCTGTCTAGACCATTCTGGAGTAGTACGGATTGTCCTAGACAGTACCAGAAGAGTCCGGAAGCATAGCTATAGTACACGAGCAGAGAGTCCCAAATATGGTAACATACTACATAAGCGACTACAGCTAAGCGCTAGGAGACGCATAGCCTCGTGTAGTCCGGACCGGATACGTCCAAGTTCAACATCAGCTTGTCTATACGAAGACTGAGACTCTGTCAACCCCGAAGTCTACGTCCTCCCTGTGGAGAATGTTCTGATGACAGAGTTTCTCGTCTCCTCAGTCTCCACAGACTCCCCAGACGACTTCCAGACACTCTCTTACCGCTAAATGGAGACCAAAAAATGAGTACTTACGTTGAATGTCGCCGAGACGCCATTGACAAAGAGAGCGACGGCCCGAACGTCTTCGGCAGAGCTGAAGTGTTTCGAACGCGTCTCCGTGAGGAGATAGAGGCGAGGTTCAAGAGATTCAAGAGTGGCCATAGTTATTGGTGTGTTGTGAGTGAGAGAGGGGACATGAGTAGTATGGGGTTCGAGACGGCTGTCGGTGTTATATGAGTGCTACGCAGACAGCTTGCGTGCGCTGTCCGAGAAAGAGTTTGCGCTACAGGAGTGAGTACTTACTCTAAAGATCCGACTGTGTCCACGCGGCTGTTGGGAAACGTGGTTGGGTGGTGGTCTTGTAGTCACAACAGGGAGAACAGTCGGGGGTCCGTCGATACGAGGTGGCGTTTCACAAGGCGCGCTAGCATTGCCAAATGCGGGAAGCCAGTTACCGCTTGTGGTAAGGGCGCCTCGTGTACGCCAGATTGCGATGTGAGCATATCGCGCGAGTTGTGGGTGATACACGAGGTTGTTCTTGGCAGGAAGCTGAATAAGAAATCGGAACTGGAGGTAGGGTGCTGAGAGAGGCAGGAGAGACGAGATAGTAGTACGTAGAGATGCAGAGGATGTGTTCGGAAGTGAAGACGTGGAGTTGTCAGATTAAGTGCTCTTTTGACAGGTTAAGCGCTCTCCGCCGTGGGTGGTGTGCTGTAATAGAAGCACATTGCCGTCGCTACACTCCATTGTCCCACACTGAAAAAAGACGAACGTGTTGTCACCGCTCTCTTCCTCTTGTCCACTCCCCCAGTGCTCATTAATCTGTCACCAGCAGTCAGAACTTTCGACTTATTACCATTCAGACCTCTCGGACTTCGAGCCCGACGCGGTTTGCCATCCCTCCGATTATCAGCCATGCTGACTGAACGCACTCGGAGAAAAAAACAACCAGAGCCTTATCAGAGCGGTACGTGCACTGTTTTTTGATACTAGTCACCTGCAGGCGATTATAGCCTGCAGGGACTGATCCACGAGGCTACGATGCCTGCACCACCACCTGCCTCACACCGCACTCATAGTGCGTATGGGTGTCATGTGTGCGCTGCCACGTGTTGTGTATGCAAAAACAAAGTCTCTGATTCGCTTATCTAGGCTATTGCGCAATTTGGCTGAGAAAATGAGGCCATAGAACAATTGGCAAACGGGGAGTACAGAGGAACGGGGAGTACGGACAGACACTAAGTACGCTCGGACACGGAGTACGCTCGGAATATAAAAAGCACAGGGATCTCGGGACCAGGTAAGTCGAGTCCTCACTCTGTGGTAGCCCTTGCTTCTACGCTGCTTACATTCTTGCTAAACAACCACTACGTTATGTCTCAGCCTTACCCCACCCCTCGCGACACCCGCTCGAAGCGCTGCCATGAGACCGAGTCTCAAGGTAGCGATCCTGCACCTCTCGGCACCGCTCCTACCTCCAAGTCTGCCAGCACCACTCGAGCTATTCCAAGCTCGCAGGTGGCCGCAACTGCTGCCAAGTGTTATGACTGACTGTCGAGCGAGTAAGTGGAGACGAGCGAGGCAGGCAGGAGCGCCGACGAGCTCTGATCGCAGTGAGACTGGAGCGGAGCTCAACAGGCAGGACTGGAGACAAGTTGTGTATTGAGCGAGGTATCTACAGAGCGAAATACACGATGGCTTACCTGGAGACAAGAGGTCGAAACTAGAGTCTCCAGGTAGCAAGAGATCCAGCTATATACAGGGAACGAACAATGGGCGCTAGAGAACAATAGCGTCGCCATGGGTACGGAGTACAAGGGGTGTAGGACAATAGCGGACATGGGGACAAAGGGAGCTATTGTCCGTGTGTGGACAAAGGGAAACCGTAGTGAGTAGTGAACAATAAGGAAATGTACGAGGCAGTGGTCCGAATCGAAAAGGAAATGTAGCGCCGTGAGGGCGGTTCGTGACACCAAGAAGCGCAAGGATGACTCCAACGATCCGGCCACTGCCAAGCCTGTCAAGAAAGGGGCCCCTACTGGCGAGAAGGGCAACAAGGCTGGAGCTTCAGACGAGCCTATCACCCTCTCTGATGGTGAGACCTCTGCCATCGACAGCGATGGCCATGAGGGTGTATCTGCTGTCAAGGCTTCTGCCCGCACGGCTGCACAGCTCGCTGGAGTGCAGGCGGAGAAC